ATCTTAGGACTAAAATATATTGTTAAGAAAATTCTTAATGTAAATTCATTTTCAATGCCCTTAAATCCATATTTTCAACCTATCAGCAAGCATTTGTGTGGAAACTCACACACACACACACACACACACACAAAGAAATAGTCATAAAGGCAAATTATACTTTAATTCTGTAACTGTGGTGATCTAATTTTAGTTAATGAAGAATGAAGCTTTTCAGTTCCCACCCTTAGAGATTATAATTTAGTGCTTATGGAATATGATAGAAACTGTGCTATCTACATTCTCAATAAAGCACCCCAGGCACTCTGATATTGCTGAACCCCATACCATACTCAAAGGAACCCTGCTCTATCATTCATAATTAATTTCTGGTTGTATAGTAATAAGATTATGATGATAACTGCTGACACTTATTGAGTGTTTATTGTGTGCCAGGTATTATGCTAAATATCTTCAATTTTTAGAATGACTCAGTGGAGTAAGATATCATCATGTCCCCTCTGTAGATGAGAACACTGAGTCAGGGAGCAGTGGTGTAACCTGTCCCATGTTACTCATTAAAGGAAATTGGATTCTAGAGGCCAGCTTGTCAACTGCCTCCTAACAAAATATGCTACTTTTATTCATAATAGTTTAACACTCAAAAAAAAAAAGTTTTTCTCTACTTCTAAAGCAAATCTTGAGAGACTGTCATATCAGTTATCTATTGTTCCTTAACAACTCATCCAAAACTTAGTGATTTAAATAAAATACAATCATTTTATTACTGTCTCTTAGGTTCTGGGTGTCAGCTGGGCTCATCCGGGGGATTCTTACTCAGGGTCCTTCATGAAGCTGCAGGTAGTGGCTGTAGTTATCTGAAAGCTGGTCACTTGCACATATGGTGCCTCAGATGTCTGAGGACCCGGACTGCTTGGGCATCTCTATCTCTGTGTGATCTCTCCGCATGGTTTGTGCAGCATGGCAGCTTCTTTCATGGAGAATCAATCCATTAAAGGCACAGGCTCCAGGAAAGAGAACACCAGGCAAATGCTATATGACCTTTTATGAACCAGCCTTGGAAGTCATGCAGTATCATGTCCACCATATCTCATCCATGAGGCAGCTCCAAAGGTGTATTCAGGTTTAGGAAGGAGAAATAGATTCCAGCTTTTGATAGGACTGGAAACACCATTGTGCCCAAGTTTTGGAAAATGCAAATTTCCTCAGTCCACCCTCTGGACAAAATAGTTCACATCCCTCTCTCATAAAAGATGCACTCATCCCCCCCAACGCCTCATTTCATCACCAAATCAAGCTCAGGTTCAAGGCCCAGATTTTATCATCTAAATCAGACCAGACAGATATCCTGGCTGCTCAGGTAGAGCTCCTGAGGTAGACAGCTTCTCCAATATCATCCATACACTGGAGGAGACAGGTATAGGATGCTCCTGTTCAAAAGGGAGGAAGTCGAGAGGCACACAGCAAGCACTTGCACAGAATAGTTCTAAACAACACCTGGGCACACGTTGCCTATGCCTTGATTAGGATTTAGTCCTAGTGCCTGGAAATGATTTTCTATGGCTCTTAGGTCGATGCTCTGGATTCTTGGCTCACCTTTAAATTATATTCCCTAATGCACAAGAGGTGACATATTTGGGGCTATTAGTTTTCTTAGCCTGTTTCCTGTTCATAAAATGTTGACACACTAGAGCTTCTTCATTCTGTATTGACTCTGCTCCTTTCAGTGCAAACTGACTCAGTTTCTTTAAAAGCTTTGTGAGTTTCCTGTGAATCAATGTATAATCTACTCCATTATTCAAAAGCCATATCCACAAATCTCTTGAGATAATCTCTACTTTGGGCTGTGTGCACGATTCCTATGAAGCAATACTTAGAAGTCTTGTGGTTTTGCTTCTTTGAAAAGATCTGTGAAGCATCACCTTAAATCTTTCTGAGGCCTTAATAAAGGGTTTCATAGTCATGATCTTGGCTTCATCTTTAAATCATGCTTTCCTGAAAATGCTCCAGATTTCATCTTTACTTGAAAGTCATTTCTTAACTTCAGAATTATTTGCCATCAGGACAGCCTGACTATGAGAAACTGTTTCATTTTTAAACAGAAAGTCCGGGCTCCTTTATAGGTAAGAGTTCTTTCTTTAACTTACTTCTTTACTCTCGTTTTACTATAGGCAGCTAGAAGAATCCAGAAGGTAGATTTTACACTCTACCTGAAAACATTTTTAGCTATATCATCCAGTTTCTTACGTGTGTGTGTGTGTGTGTGTGTGTGTGTGTGTGTGTGTGTGTGTGTGTGTGTGTTTATTCTCCACATTACTGCAGGTGACCGTGTTCCTAATCTTTCCACAGTGGCATAAGAATGGTCATGTTTCCTCCAGCTTCCAGTTTCTTTCTCACTTTCCTTTAAGCCTCACCAAGAGTTTTCTTGAGGATCACCGTGCTTCTGCTAACATTCTCTTCAGGACTCCTCCAGTTTCTCAAAGTTACTGCCATTCTTTTAAAGGTGTTGTTTTTATTTTTTTCTTTTTATAGTAGCACTCTAGTTCCAGGTACCAATATCTGTATTAGTTGTCTATTGCTATGTAACAAAGCTCTCCAAAATTTAGTGGCTTAAAATAACAATGATCTCATCTCTTTTATGGTTCTAGTAGTTGGCCGGGCTCAGCAAAGCTATTGTCACACAGGTTCTCTCACAGCTGTATTCAGAGTCTGGGGCTGGAATCATCCGAAGACTCAGTTCGTTACCTTTCTGATGTGTGGGCTGGGGAAACCCAGACAGCTGAGAACTGAAGCAGATGGGGTCCTCCTGCAATTCTCTTATCTCCCTGTGGCCTCTCCACATGTTCTCTACAGCATGCCTGCTTCAGGGTAAACAGTTTTCTCAAACAGAGATCAGGGTTACTAAGACATGTGTCAAGAGCTAGGCAAGAGCTAGGCAGAGGCTGCACTGCCCATGATCCAGGCACAGAAGGCAGGCAGCATCCCCTTCCCTGCATTTTATTCGTTGGGGGCAATCACAGAGGCCCACCCCATTTTAAGGTTCTGCAAGAGCGTGCAGGACTGAAAATATTGTTGAAGCCAATTTTGGAAAATACAATCTGTCACATATCCTTTAAATTATTCAAATCTTCAGAACAACTCTATAATACTAATGTTAAAATTTTGTTTGGTTCATTAAATTTCTAGGAGAAGCTTATGAGCTGATATGTTTTAGCACAGTGAAAGCCTTTAGAATAATGCTTATTAATTACAGAATTGTGCATTTTGGGTATTTTCTGCTCTTAAAAGTTGGCAGCTTTTGGGAACTCTATATAATACTGGCTTACAAAGATATCCATTGAATTAGAAAATTAGCTCTGTTCTTTTCATTCTCATTTGGATGTCTCCCATTTGTTTCATGTTTACAATGTGCCAGAATCTGAGCTAACACTTTACATACAATATCTATTTTATGCCTCTGAGATAATTACCAATACCATCATTCTATGCACGACTATACTGAAGCTAGGAGAGAGTTACCCAAGACCTCTTTTAAAATTACAGTTTGCACTCCTGCCATTTACACACACACAGACACACACACATACACACACTTCTGTGATCCCTTATGGCCTGTTGTTTCTCATCCTCATAGCATGTATCATGTTCTGACATGCTTTAGAATTTACTCATTTGTTTAATTTACTTTTGCTTTTATTGTTCGATACCACCCACTAGGGCAAAGGAAGATAGGGACCATTTTCTTTGTGTTCACTAATGTGTTTCAGTAAATACTGGTTGAATGCATGACTAAATGAATGAGTGTGCGAATGAATGGTTGTGCTGAGGTTTGAATCCCGGTTTGACTCCAGAGCCTTAATTTTAACCATTATACTGTATTTTCTCCCCCAAATAACTGCTGTCATATGTGAAGTCATAGTGAGAGAAAAACCTGGCTGCCTTAAACAACTTAGGACTTTAACAAAATCAGATGTGTTTATATCAACAATTCCTACAGATTAGTAAAATACCTAATTAGTAAAATAGTTCACTATTTTTGAGAAGTTTGATATTTCAGTAAAACTTCATGTGATTTTATAAAATTAACATCTCCGTTTTCAGAGAAATTGTGTGTATCTAGTTAAAAAAACTATTATAATTTATAGTAAAAATATATTAGAAAAAGAAGTCTTTTGGAATTTTTTTAACTTAAATGTCAATAAATATTTTAAAGTCATATCTAAATAATGTTTCTGCCTTTTTCAAAATTATTTCTTACCAATAATATTATGCTCAGTTGTTTTTCTAAATACCTCTCCTTTTTCAACTTAAGAAGTTTCCATTTTAAAAACTTCTTACAAAAGTTATAGTCTTGATTTCTCTGTTAAATATGTGTTTCTGTTAAGGATTCAGATATACTGATTAATTGTAAAACTCACCCTGGGCATCATTTTAATAACAAAGTTCTTTTTTTAAAAAAATTATGTATATAGGTGTTTTATTTTGTTCATTTTATACCATTTCAATAATCAAGCTTACTCATCTCCTACAGGAAGTATCCATATGCCACTAACAAAATTTGCTTGCTCTCCCTACATTTCTGTTTTCTCACCTCTGAAATCCTGCGGACCAGTTCAGCCTATACTTATTTCACACCTGTATCAGGCCGTAAGAAAACAAGTGTAAGTAGGTTCCAGCAGCTGATCTGAAGTGTGCTGCATCACTGCATCTCCAGGTACTTTCCCTTTGCAGGTAGGTGGCTGACAATCCTGGGCCACCTTATTGTCCACCCAACGTCTCGTTCGTGGGTAGAAGTTGCCCTCCAGCTCCAAGATCAAAACTCGCTTTCTCGTTGGCAGTCTTGGAAGTGTAGGTAGAGCCAGAATCCTGCGGGGTGGAGGGATGCAGGCCTGGACCTCTCCATCAGTAGGAACACACAGGCGCAGCTTCCAGCCCCTGACCACGTGGTTTGGCCTTGGGTGTCTTTAACACCTCCCATCATTTCTTTGTCCCCCGTTCAGTTCTCACTCGGCCCAGACCGCACAGTGATGACTACAGCACGATGAAAAAGATTCCTCCTCGCAAGCCAAAACGAAGCCCCAACACCAAACTGAGCGGCTCCTCGGAGGAGATCTCCGGCTCTGGACCAGGGGTCAGGAGGGCCCCCGGCACGCGGCGCAGAGCGGCGGGCCCGCAATACGCCCCAGGGGCGGTGCCAGGAGTCCCCACACCTCTGGCGCACTCAGAGCCAGAGCCCGAGCCCGAGCCCGAGCCCGTCTACATCGAGATGGTGGGCCGCGCAGAAAGCCCCGACCAGGCAGAGGCTGTGTATGAGGAGATGAAGTACTTCGTGCCCCACGAGAATGGAGGCGGTCGGGGGGTGGGCGCCTGGGTGACCGCGTCGCCCCCTTTGCTGTGTGAGAGTCGGAGCCCCATCACCTTGGAGGATGGCGATGCTAGCTGCCAGACGCCGGGGCCCTGCAAAGATGCGTGCGACATTCCAGCCCCCTTCCCCAACCTGCTCCCTCACCGTCCCCCACTCTTGGTGTTCCCCCCGACCCCTGTCACCTGCTCCCCCGCGTCGGATGAATCGCCTTTGACGCCCCTGGAGGTGAAAAAGCTGCCAGTCCTGGAAACCAACCTCAAGTATCCTGTGCAGTCCGAAGCCTCGAGTCCTCTGTCTCCGCAGTACTCCAAAAATCCAAAGGGAGACGGTGACAGGCCTCCTTCCCCTGGTCTACCTGTATTTAACGGATCCCACAAAGTTTCTCCGCCTCCCACACCACCGCCGGCTCCTGCACCTCCAGCGGCTACCCACCGACAGAACCCGCACTTCACGTTCCCACCGGAGACCGCCATGGTGAACACGGGAAAAGCAGCCACAAACTCAGATCTGTCCAAAGTGCAGCAAAAGCCAAACTCAGCTCCAGCTGCGAGTCCAGGCAGCTCCTTCTCCAAGATTCCTTATTCCCCCGGGAAGGCCACAGCTAGAGTTGACCATAGGAAGGTCAACTCTAACTCCTCCTCTCCAGTCCTCTATAGCCCCCCTAACTCCAGACCTCTCAGCAGCCCTCTGGATGAGCTAACTAGCCTCTTTAACTCTGGAAGGAGCGTCCTTCGGAAGTCTGCAGCGGGAAGAAAAATCAGGGAACCTGAAGGTAAGCAAAATAAAAGCATATCTCCCTTTTGGGCTTTGGGATAGATGGAGGGAGGGAGATATACACTTATACATATATACATGTATATGTAATTTAAATAATGTTTGAGGTGATTGTGGTCATTCAGAGAAAATCTTATATAACCAATATGGACAAGTAGGTAAGAATGAATAACTTACATTTTGCAGATGAAAACCCATCATATAAAAATACATAGTACTAAAACTGAATTCAATAAATTCTTGAATTGATAATTATTAGAATAAAAGTCAAATTTAACTACTGGCTCTTTTTTTCCCTAATAATACTTCTTCGGGATATGGAAATGGTAGTTTTGTAACATTATATTGTTGATTCCTATATTATTTACAGTTCACCATTAACTCCTGTCCATCCTGTTTTGTCCATTTCGTTTCCGCTCTTGACTTCTGGGATGATTATCTATTCAGTTACTTCCTTACCTATAATTTTTTTGAATGAATTTTATATTGTTTTGAATGAATGACTTCTGTTCTATACCACTGAAAGCAACATTTAACTAAGTTCTTCCTGTGTCTTCTCATTGAGCACCTTAGCCTAAGGCATGGTTTGCAGCTGACAGTCCATTCAAGTGAGCTCAGCACCAGGCTGTTGCAGCCAGAGGCTGTTGTTGCCTGTTGTT